TGAGGTAATATGTGAACTTCAATCACACCAATATAATGATACTAATGACGATTTCTGATACACATTATATGCACAATAAATCGACCTAAAAAACTAAAATTGTTATTCTGGTATTTTGATGGTTGGTATACTGGAGCGATTTCGCTTTATTTTTTTTCTCGCTTTTTTTAAATCGCTTACACATTGTTAACTGGCGAATTAAATACACTACTACCCTATTCCAGCGTTATTTAAATTACAGCAAAACTACCAATAATAGAGAAATACCAGTAAAATAATAGTGATACGCCAACGCGAATATACGGCATAGCATTCAGTGTTTTCTTCACGGCGTTGCTAACAAATTACTGAGTAATGGTTCCTGGTGCAATTTTGTTCATTCATGGCATCATGATTGGACCACGCCTACGCCGCACTTGACATCGATTATTCTCGAAACTTCATACATTCATTGTCGCATCCCCCAATCACACAATCATTGAAAGGCATATACGAATATACGTTCTCATCCGGGGGTTTTGTGAACATAAATATAAGCTAAACCACGCTGTGTTAACAGCACCCAGGCAAGGAAACAGCTACTTTACTCGCAAAGGTCGTGACACGGCACTGTGTGTTTGTTAATTCAGAGGCGCTTCACGTAGGCAAACATGGGAGGCGAATGAAATATACTTCGCAGTTGAGGAGATTGGTAATGGCGGCCTACGTGGCGACCGGGATAAAGATCAGAATAATGTAGAAAACAAATATTGTTTTATACATTGTTTGATATTTAAAAAAACCGTAATTCGAAGCAGGTATTTGACTATCGCATAAGCCTGTTACCGCACTACAGCCGAGTTTATAACATAGTCCGATTTTATAATGCCGGATTATAGATACAATTAGAACATCAAACAGTAGGTCACATAGTGATTTATCAAGGTATAGTTGAACATTTACTCGTATGTTCTGTTTTTTGTTTAGAATGTCACTGCTGAAATAATATGTAATTATTAAATCTTCTAGAAAAGAAACGATCCAAAAATATCTGACTGATTTGAAGACTACAGGAACTATCCATGTAGCAGACACATGTAATTAAATAATATAAACAATAATATAGACAAATTAGAGATTAAGTTGGGAGAAATGATGGAGTTCAATTTTAAATTTAAACATGTATCAATGTAGCAAATTGCCATCTAATCTTGCCGTATCTCTTGGTTGTACAGTGGGTACAACACCTCTCGTTACAGGCTGGTACCCGGAAGTAATAAGTGTTTCTGTCTTATAAATGAATTACACGGCGAAACGTTAAATAATCCGCTGTTTTTTTCACAAATAATACGTGTAGATTGGAGTCTTAACGCTTTCAGAAATAAATCTCATGGCCATGACGAACTCTGCCAAACTACATTACAAAACAAATCAAAACTTGGATGACGTAGTGAGTCACTGTTACCATGCCTACCACAGATAAACCCTGAAAAAAATCCCGTTTTAAATTAAATCAAATATATTTTATCAACTGTAGTAGATGGAAAACCAAATTCCTACCCAACCAGTGTCTGGATATGACGTCACACAATTGCGCTACCGTTGTCAGCAGTCCAGCCAATCAAATAATTGCTCGTATTTCCATTCAAGTTATGTTAATTGCCTCCAAGAAGGAAAAAATTTTAATATTATGCCCTAGTGGCAAGTCTCATGTTCGTCGATACGAGTAGCAACTAACTTATACCGCGCTGTAATTGTGTCAAAGCCATGTTGAGGTGACTGAAGAATCAAACCACGGTCTGTAAATTCCCAACACGTGAGTACATATAATGTCATCGTGTATATATGCAGTCTTTGTCTTAGAATTATTTGATTTTTTTTACCTTGATGGATATTCTTCTATGCCAGTACAGCAAATAAATCGATCAATGTTCAGTTAAGGAAATCTAATATATAGGTATTGCGCAAGTACGTGGTTATGAAGGCGATGAATAACATGTCAGTTAACAAACTAGTAAATATTTCGATTTAATTTGTTCTTTATTATTATTAACTGAGAAATAAAATACTGAAATGTGGGAATCTTATTATGCCTGCTAGTAGTGTACGTTCCAATTACCGATCTACTGCTTTGATGGATAGAAAGCATATTGCAGCATTATGCTTACAATAGGGCACAGTGCCTAGTTGATCAGTGTTTATTGATATAGAGTGCTGTTTGTGTACTGTATTTATAGTTATAATAGTAAATGCTTTGTTGACTCTGATTTAAACTCTGACTTAATAAGATCATTATATGACTACTCCGCACACCCCGTGTGTTTTCTTTTGATATCTCGAAACACGTGACTGGTGTTTTTAATTATTATTAATACATCGTTAATATTCGAGATGACAAAATTAATTTATACATTCTTCTGTTATATTGGTTGAAAAATAAATACATTTTTTTATTATTTTTTTTTCACATCAATTCAGTGATTTAGTGTTTTTTAGTTTCCAATCGGCGTTTTGAAAAACTAGTTATATGGCATTTAAATTGATACAATAAAAAATGCCACTCATTGTGTACATTTCATAAAACCGGAACATAGAATTGAAACAATACACTGTCATTATTAATTAAATAAGCATTATATTAATGAATAACGCATTTGAATTACTCAGTTATGTAATCATTTCGAGAGAGAATGCGATTTCATCTCATGCTATTGACAATTCCATGAATCGTTGGCAACAGGCGAATCCCACGAGGTATTCGTTTATACATCTTGCTTCCTGTACACATTTACCCGCTGTTGGCGACCCATGACATTCCCCTCATGTCGTGTACGCAGAAGCAGCTATGTAAGCCAACCATCCAGAAAAATACCTTTGATACAATTGAAATAATGTCTATTCAGGAGAATCTTAAGTTATTTTATCTAGATTTATTTTTTTACGCGAGGCGCGCGTTCCTTTAACGCGATACTATAACAACATGCTATTGATTTTATTCTATGCTAAACATAATTTTTATTCCACTGTGAATAGATATCGAATCTACTATAACAATCCACGAAGCTCGCCGACTTCGTAGTATTGTGCCTCGCAGTGCCTTGCCGATTTGAGGCTTAAATCACATTTAAAGACATTTAAAGACACAAACTGAACGCGACGTGGCAGGTTACTGTTCGCAATAATCTAAAGTCAGTCTTTTAAAAAGTCTAATTAAAATTCACGGTCTTTCAATTTTACGGTCGAGAACGTAAATGACTCTATTCACCGTAGCTATGACAACTAAGAACCGTCTCAATGACACACAGGAAAAACTAGCGCCCTAACTAGAAAATACTAGGTTACGACCAAATGAGACTGAGAGAACATAACTTATCCTACATTGGGATTTAGGCGCTGACATATTGGAGGAATGTATAGAAAGGTTTTATTTCGACTGTGATGTGATTTGCCATCGTCTGTGATTTACTCAGAAATTGCCTGTATTCAATCTGTGTTAGACTCACACGTGTGAAACCCAAAGTTTTCTTTGAACGCATATTACAAATCACGTACATACATACAAGCCCATCGTTAGAAGCTGTGCATCGCATTGTACTGCTATAGTAATCTGATGGTATCCCACCTCCAGATTTGTGGATTAAATATTATACATACACGGTGTCCTTCGAAGTAATTACCACCGTCGATTTACAGAGGCGAAGTACACTTGTTGTTGACCGATTGTGTATACCCACAGCAAATATATATATATATATATCATTATAGTGATCTTAATGTTGTCACAGAATACGTTTAGTGGCACGCGCCGAGAACGGGTTAATCAATAACCACACGCACCATTCTTTAAATTTAGATTTGCTGACATATTTACTTGTGTTGTATTGTATTGCATTCGTTGATTCATCGCCACGCGAACACCCGAATATAAAAATACGCCTGTGTGGTCGATCGATGTAGGCTCATGGTAATTTCATTGTGTGTTCAACGCAGCATGTCATTTTCTCTGTAGCCGATGCGAATAAGACAAGCTACGAGTGGCAATTACACCTGACGCTAAAATGTGGAGATTTTCAATCGCTCCCAGTAGACTGTGCACGCTCTCGTTGTCGCTATACAACAAGAATTCGATTCAGCGTAATTATACAAAATGGCGGCGTAAAAACCAATGGGATCGTTTTATTCGTGCTTAACAAAAAAAAAAAAAACGAAGCGTGTTCCATAGAAGAACTGCTCAATTAAAAATAACATATGTTTCAGACAGTTATCTGTATTAATTTATTTTGTCCATTTTCGCTTTCACGACGCATTCTCAGAGCGATTCCTTGAAGCATTAGTTTCGTATTAGTAATAATAGTATGCGCATTTCAGCCCGGGCAAAAAAATCGGTAAAATGTTGAAACTCAAATAAATAGTTATTTACGACAAAGAAGACGATTAAAACATCCGAATTCATTCGGGCGTAATATTTTCGAGGCATGCGTAAAATTTCACCAAGACGCCGCAATAGAGATGTTTATCGTGAATGTGGACGAAAAATATACATTCGTAGCGCGTAGTAAAACATATGCGGAAATGAGTTTGTTCAATAATTACCCCTATTGCGATAGAAATACGAAATAAAAGATTCCTCTTCCATTTAGTACATTGCAATATAACCATGTATTTTTTTACGATTAATACAGTTAATTTTAATTACATGTTACCGTATTTAGACTTGTTTTCGTTGACACCACCCTAATTGCACATGACTTTAGTCTGTCAAAATAAGTTATACTGTAAATCGCCAGAGTTCTGCGCTCAGCGTCCTGTTCGACGTTAGTCCCAACACATCCCACGCCGATAATCAGAATGTTGGCTGTTTTTTAACTAATCGGAAAGGAAAAGATGCTCTTCTCCCCTCTCATACTCGTGACAGTAATAACGAGTGCAGACGATTCAACATTCAGTATGGTGCCGGGCGAAGTTTGTTTTAGTCTCACCAACGAAACAATCATACAGCTTTTGTTGTTTTACCTTTACAGAGGCACTCACATTCCCCTATTTAAACAATCACGATGCGGCTTTCATCATGGTTTGAGGTGAAAAGACAAGAACTTTATCAATGGCATTCAGAGTTCACTTGGCATGGATTTTTTGTCCAGATTCGTTCGTCGCGTCGCCTTGTACTATTTATCGTATTCGTTGCCTTGTTACTGGACAACATGTTATTGACTACAGTAGGTGAGTAAATCACGCCTTCAACGGCAGTACGACGGCGAGGTTTCAAAGAACCAGACATCCATTTTAATTTCCTTTTCAACTGTTCAATTTTAGTCCTCTAAACACAAACGTTTTTATTTAATTTGTTATAATTACCAACTAATAACAATTATGTGCTCAGACGCTCGTTTTCTTTTCAAGAGTTATAAACGCTTCTTTTGTTTTTACAGTTCCCATAATTCCAGATTATTTGTTCAGACTTGAACATCCAGACGAAGTGCGTTTCATAGATGGGCACGGAGAAACCGTTACTAATACCACCAACGTCACTTCCGCTTTTAGACATAGTTTAAATTTTACCAGTGAATATAATTCCAGTATGTGTTCTTCGGCTAACAGTGCCTGGTTTCCCGAATGTAACGTGACTGATGACGCTTATACACGTAGTAGTTATGGACAAGATTTGCGTGACGAGAATGTGGAAGTCGGACTACTGTTTGCATCAAAGGCATTCATTCAACTGATAGCTAATCCGTTTATTGGCCCCCTAACGAATAGGTAAGTACCGATAAGTTCAAAGGGTATGAGCGGAATGATATAGTCCAGGATAGCTGTAAACAAAGACGTTCGACTATGTGTGAAAACATACCATTTATTACAAATTAATGTAAAACATGTTGAAAAGCGACATGCAATTTTAGCGAATTGTTGTAAAATGAGGTAATAGCGAAATGTTGATTTAGCGAATCTCTCTTGTCGTTGTTGATTTCATGTTTTCACAATACTTTTCTGTTGCGTGCCAAAACAAATGCGCAGTTATCACCTCCATAAAAACAAAGAAAAACTGTCAAGTGTAATTAGGAAGCGCCCCAGAATTTTATGTTCTGAATTATTGTACAAAATCCCCAAGCCTTTGACATTTTGAATTTATAATAAAGTCATTAGCGACATCTTGACTTAGCGAATGAGTTATCTCGCTAAATTCGCTAAAAAGACATGCTCGCGAAAAAAGACATGTTTAACAACAGTATATGCAGTCACAAGTTGTAGCAGAAACAATGAATTAAATTTCGTTCATTGAGGACAACTAATTTAAAAGTCTAACTACCACTAACCACCGTATTTGAACAACTGCTAAGTGAATGAGTCCTAATCTTAATTCATGAGAGATCGGTAAAAATGACATATCAATATTTAATGTATGCCATTGTTCATTGGAGTATGAGTCAACATCATTATGTTGTATTGTTTCAGGCTAAATATTATGCAAACAATTTCGAGAACAGTTTACACAGGACACAGCGATAAATCATTATTTCATGTTTAACCTTTTTCTAAAACCAATGCTGTAAACATAATTCACTACAGTAACTAAAAAAGAAAAAGTACTATATCAGTTCGGCTATCTTTAAATAGTAACCTACACAATAAATTATGACAAACCAGTATTCATGTTTATAAACAGTACATCAATAATATAATTATACAAATTCATATTTGTTGATACAGACAATAATTTAATCTTCTGAATCTTGTATTCGTGTTTACCTTCCAAGTCGTCGTGCTTGTTGTCAGGGTGTATTTTATGTATACTGCTATGTTATCGGTGCATCGTGCACTTCAATATTAGGTCAATTGTATTGTGAAGATTATTCTTAATTTCATAATTCTCTTAATTCTTCATCATACTCATCCATATCAATATTTTCTACATTTGGACCATGGTAACGTTTAAAAGAATATTTTCCTCTAGTTGTTTTCCATCAGCGTTGGTGGCTGTCATCATTGAATCGCACAACCTGAAATGTATCTTGATTTATATTTTACTCGTTTCGTATTTTTCGCAAACACCCTCCCCTCCTTCAGGAAATGATGTTAGCTTTATCGTCGTTTTCGTGAAACACTTATTTTTTGTTCATGCTACGATTGTGTTTTAATCTCATACTCTGGTCTCCATCAAATAATTTCGTATTATGGTAAATAGAAATAAGTTTATTTATAATTTTGATGGACGGAGAGTTGTGCGGTAATTTATTTGTTCATTACTTGTCACAATGAAATCATGTAAAATATTAGAATATGTATAACCATGTAAACCACTGATCAGGGGTTATAAAATCAGAGATGAAAGTAGACCTTAGACAAACATGACCGCCGTGACGTGGTTTTTCCAGTTAAATAGTTTTTTTTTTGTTCTCCTGACCTACGTAACCATAGTAATTTGAACAATGAATGAGATCACCCGAGAAAATGAAACACTATTTGAGAGGTAAAACAAGCCTCGTTGCGTTCTCACACTCAACGAGATTTCGGCGGTCATTAACGTCTGAAGTATGTTACGAATAAAATAAACTTTACGATACTATGCTATAATAAGCTTACAAGCTATTTTTGAAGACTATTTTAAGATGAGTGAGTCGCTAGCATACATCGTACAGTGTGTTCATTTGTAGCACGTACCTTTTCTCACATAAAATGTTAATCGCATTATAAAGGTGTATATCCTATATGTACATAGTATATAGACTAAATATGAGTTTCCTGTTTCAGGAGCAAACAACATGTACAGCTGGTTTTTTTTTTATCCAACATATTCCTGTCTGTCTTGTCTAAAAACATCAATTAATACACTTGTAGCAAACAGATGAAATGAGTTCCATTTTATAACATAACAATGAAAAAAAATGAACAGTATGACGAATTTTATTGAGATCAAGTTCAATCGAAATCAATAATTAATGAACAAAGAAATGGAAATTACTAGGCCATTAAACAATAAACAAATTGTTATCAAACATATTACAATTTCAAGACATACAGCCTATTTTTAATCTCGCGATAACAAATTATTATATTAACATATATTATAGAACTAATAACTCACAGTGGAGAATGGTTGGTTAGCATAAGCTGTAATATGCAACTTGGGTATACTAATCACATGACTAACACGTGATATTCTACTCACGGTGGACGTAGTATTCGTTCGAGTTTCGTCAATGGGGCTTCTGACATTTTAATTGGGTTATTCAGACTCAGACTATAGTTTGTCTATGAATGAGGCTTGGTGTGATCTGCAATCAGTTGTTCATGTGTGGGGCGAATAGACAGTGGACTCTCTGACTTGATAGGATCGGGATATTGTGTTTGTGACTGAGGCAGCTAATGGATTGCCTGTAATGGTCGTAACACCGTCGTAGAGTGTAAAGACGTCACAAGGAAACACGCACTTATATTATAGTTGTCTTAAACAGGCCGAATATATGTAGATATAGGTATTCCAGCGATAAAATTGCAGTTAACTTAGGCGTTCCCTTATCATCCCCGAGTCCCATGTTCAACAGAATGAATATATTGTCACGTTTGAATTAATAGTATGCTGGCTGCTGTATTACACCACAAAACAGAGCGGGAATTCGGAAAGTCACACCCGCTTTTTAGTAACTAAATTATACATAAACTATAGAAATTGAATTCATGTAGTGTGATAACATCCACCAGTCTTATGTCGTAGATATTACTAGTACGCGATTTTGTTGAGACCCAGATGGGTCATCGTTAGACACAAATTAAAATCGAGAATGGTCTCGAAACGCATATAAGTCAATAAGTTAATCTGGGTGTATCAGACGACTGACACTGCGCGGACATCCGTCTATTCCGTTTAATCCAACTTTTTTTCTGTATCATTACGTTGAAACTGCGATATGACAACAATAGTTATCTCCGCTATGACTTATACTATTGAAACATTGTATACATAATTTAAAAGATGAGGTGTTCTTTTCAGGTCATTTAAATAATACTCAATTTCTATGTTTTTTTGATAACTACAAATTAATACACTAATGCATCCAAACATCAGTGGACCCAGAATACCGCTTAAATGGTGATATTTATAAAAGACGACGATTTTCAAATAGGATCAACATCTCAAGTCTCTTTTTTATCCTTATGAACACACGTTTAAAATATCCCCAGTTAACTTCAAATCGGACGCGAATAGCCTATGCTTTTTAAAATGAATTTCGACCAAAAAATTATCTTTTATTTTAGGATATTAAGGCAATTTCATGTGAGTTTAACTTGGTTTCAAAGTGTAGGTCTTCTCTCAATATTCGTGTTTGTTATTACCCAATTAGGGCACAGGTCTATAATATTTAAAAACCATACTATTTAATATGGTCATTTTACCGACAGCCTCGTACAAATCACTCGGTACTGAACATGGTTCATGCTAAGAATTGTTTGAGAGATTATCTGGATTTCGTAAATTACTCTTTTTTTGCTTTAAAACGTGCGATTTTTTATCATAACATCGTAACATTATGTACACCATTTAACGAAATACTATTTTTTTTTGCAGAATTGGTTATAGTATCCCCATGTTTGTAGGTTTTATTATTATGTTCATTGCAACAATAAGTAAGTAATAAACAATCATTAATCTCATTCTCGTGTGTTAATCACAACGTGACATAAGAGTGATTTTCGCTCTGAGTTGATTTCAAATCAGGCGCGCTGGCGAATCCGCCTCCTTGAGTATGGGAATGTGACAGATACCCGGTATGAAAGTTGGTGTGGAGCCGAGCAGGGTTGTTAACTAGCAGTACAGTTTCAGTCAATTTGGACTTAATTTGTTTGCACTTTAATCCACCACACATATGAGTATATCTTCAAAATGATGTAAGAATATGTAATAAATGTAAACAAAGTTTCAATACAATGTGTCAAGTCACCGATTATTGTAAAGTTTCGTGAACAAATTTCCAATAATTATCTCCTATATAACAGTTTTTGCAGTAGGAGAAAGTTACAGTGTATTATTAATAGCGAGGATGTTACAGGGCATCGGCTCAGCGTGTTCCTCCGTGGCAGGTATGTAATAATCGTTTATTAAGACATCGTTATTTTGAGCCGTCTTTTCTAAGACGGTTACTGTTGTGTGCGTCTGCTTACATTGACTAGAGGTTTTGTCGTGGTCGTTTGTTTAAACAGATGTTTATATGTTTGTAATATGCCTGTATTTTATATCGCGAGGGGAAGGGGTATTTTATTGGTAATAACATCAGCACGCTCAAAGTCTTCAATATTGAAAATTAAGAAATGTAAAGTAAAGTGTAACGTTTAGGTAAATGCGAATATCAACTTGAATTTATTGTAATCATTATGCGTTTTAATTGCATTTTGGTTAGCCCGATAATGCTAATTACATGACACGGGTGGCATTTGACTGCTCAATATAACTGGCAAAAATAGTAAAAATAACAAAATAAAATAAAAACGAAATTATTTTTCTTTTCAATCGGTGAGGGCGCCCATCATTAATATGTCACGTACGAGTACGACATATTAGTATTAGCGATCTTCAGCGTGCTATTTTAAAATTTACCATCACTCGTACGAATATATCATTAAAACTAAATAATAAATAGGATGACGTCTTCATATAATGATATCCGTGTGCGACGTACACGGAAGCGTACATAGATCGCTGATAAATGCAGCGAATCACCGAACACCTAACTTATAGAATGGTGTAGTGGCTATCACTACCACAGCCTACTTTAACTGTTACAGTCTCTTCATATTAGGGATGGGGATGTTAGCTGAAAGGTACCCGGATGATGAAGAACGGGGTAATGCTATGGGCATAGCATTGGGAGGCCTTGCACTGGGAGTTCTGAGTACGTATTTGAAAATAACAAAATTGTTGTATACATTTTAACGGAATGACACGTAGTTAAATGTGGACATCACACAGTGATTGGTCTCAAATACTGTCTATGACGTGATGTCAAGAATACAACTTGAATGATGTTATAGAGTAGGATTCTTTGTTTTTAGATTTTTTCATTATTTGTGCGTCCCCCAAATTATAACAGCCCTTCATAGTATGTATTCGTTGTAGACGAAAGTAGGAGAAAAGTAGATTTGCCGACGTTAGTGGGCGCTGTATGTGTTCTTACATTGCGATCTTCCTGTCTCGCAGTTGGACCCCCATTCGGAGGCGTAGTTTACCAGTTTTTAGGGAAAGAAGCACCGTTCTACATTTTAGCAGCTCTAGCCCTGGGAGATGGATGTAAGTGTGATAGTTTATTTTCTTAATGATATATTTACTGAGCTTGATTCATTGTTCTGGTCACGTCGTATCAGAACCGTGTAAGTGGCAAACATGTAGTCTAGTCACGTGTATCAGTACGTTTTGTTTCATTTGAACATGATTGCGTCACTAACTTTCCCTGAACTATTACACGTTCATTCTGATTCTGTTAATGTTCAAAAATATCACGTGAGTCAAACCTAAATTTAAATATATATATATTTATATGACGTCACTTATCCAAATGTTTTGTTAATTAGTAGTAGAATATTCTTTTCACCGTAGAAGGCGCGTTGCATTTTATTTTGAAACCTTAAAAAAGGAAACACGTTCCATGGAGAACGCGTTTTCATGTATCGTATTCACCTTGTTCCGGTATTGACTTCTTGGTCGCTAAAATCATATTGTCAACGTGAATTTACGTAAATTAGACAGATAGTTACATTAATATCTTCATTTGAAATGTAATAACACGATGTTATTGTCATTTCACGACGTGTAAGACAGAAACTATGAACGCGACACTGAACAAAATACATACACGATGATACTGTTCCAACAATAAATAATACGAAATTATGCACATTGTATACTAGTATACAAATTTATGTTTCATCTATTCCCAGTGTTGCAGTTATTAGTATTAAAACCCGGCGTGGGCAAGGAGGTTCAAATGGAAGGAACACCTCTACTGACTCTAATAAAAGACCCATATATTCTCATAGCTGCGGGTAAGTCGATTTGCATCATCGCATATATTGTCCACAGGCACCCATACATTTACGACATCGATGATGCAGTTTCGCTGATGGCACCCAGGGCGAACTGTGTTAATTCTTGCTGAACTTATAACATCGGGTCGCGCGTGGTATTAATACTTTATGACTTTAATCAACTCTGATCGGGAATTCAGCCGATGAAGAACTCATGATTAACCTATGATCCGTAATTTTAATCTCCTTCATATGTTCCAACAACTATGTGAGGTGATTGGATCGTTTAATGTCACGTGAGAGTTTATATCATAACCCGTGGTATGAATAATATATAATTCTAGTTCCGGGCTTGAACTGCAATCACTTTTTGGATTAACATACAGCGGAAGCGTCCTTCGAAAAATGATTAAATAGTTTGTTTTTAGGGAAGAGTATAAAAGGTCTCCAAACGGATCAGATGACATGTATTAGCCTATGGTTTTATTTTTATTTCTCACGAGACATTTTCTAATTCCTTTGTTTTTGTAACAAATTCTGAAAAAAATTACTCTTAGATTCCAGGCCATTTACTGTGAGTGTTACTTGGGTGTTTTTAATACAGCCACCTTTAGGGAAGTCATTGTTGATTGGGTTGTACATGTACTCCATGATTGTACAGTGTTTCGAATATGACGGGCATGCACGTTTACAACGCTTGAGGGCAGTGTTACACGCACACCATAATATTGACAGAAACAGCCAAAATGATTGGGCTTTGCACGTGTAAGGAAAAAAAACTATGTTCATGTTCATAAAAAACAAAATATGTTCATGTCATATTGCATGGCTTATTTTGAAATACGGCCCACATTCTACATGTTACATGCGTGTCCACTGTATTCAGTGGATATGGGATAGTTATATCTCCTCTCCTTTTTTTGTAAATAACTTTTTAACTTCTTGTTGTCATCATAGGCATTCTTCGTGGTTTTCACCAGTTTTGCGAGAGGTGTACCTAATTTGTACTCATAGTGTTGACCCATGACACGTCAAAGTGCCTCGATACCCCAGTGTTGATTTAGTTTTCAGCGATTTGCAACTAGTTATATGGATTAGCTTTGGATGGTTCAGGTTCATAAGAATTCAATTCTTTGCCTGCATATTTTCGCTGTGCTCGCCCGGGGGTAGTGATTATGACGCATGCGCACACCGGAACATGGTTTCGATCGGAGACCGTCAGTATTCTTGAATCGTTATTTCAGTAATATAAACCTATCTGACACGTCGACCGTTGAAGGTTATTCTGTGTTGCAAGCGTATTCCCTCGTCACGACATTTCGCTGAGAAATGCGATAAAACGTGACTTGAAAAATAATTGAATATTTTGTGTGAATTTTTATTACTTCAAACAAAATATATTATCAGTGAGTATATAGCGTCTATTAATGAAAATTTCTTTTGAATTCGTTTTTTTAGAATGAATATTTAAGGTTTCATTGAGAGTGCACTGTTTTATGAATACGTTGTCATATTTTGAGTTTCGTCACGGTTGTGTTCGCATTCTTAGAACATCATGCATTTTAAAATATGTTATTTTACGTGAGATAAATGTGTATACCAATTCACGTCCTTTAAGAGTAGTCATATGTTAATATTCCGTGTTTCGCATCGTAGAAGAAATTTACGATGTTACGTCTGAGCGTAATGAACATATACCCAAGTACGTCATAGTAAACTACCATTAATTGATTGTTGTAATACATTTGGAGAAGTGTTACTATTTTTGTTTTCAATTCTGACCATCATCCTGTTCACGAGAAAATGGTGGTGCAGATGAACACTATTTATAACTAGTTAGTTATTTGGTGCTTTTAACAAATCTACGATATATATATATATATATATTATATAAGGCATCATTTTTTTCTTATCATGTCATTGAATCTGACAGTGTCCCTCCAACAATACACACGATGCTTGTTTAGTATTGTCAATAAGGGGATGGGTGGCAAGACCTTGACTGATGACATCATGCGGCCTACTAAGCTACACGATATATTAACGTGACCACACGGACAATTTAGCATTTTAATATCATTTACATATATGTTAAAGATGCAATATGGTGGAGAACATGTATTTTTTAATATTGTTAGATACTGTATTTTGAGGAATACATTGATTTATCATGACTTAAAAACGCCGTTCTTGTAGCACACATTAGAGTTCTTGTTCAATGACGTAATGAAATTCTCGAATACGCATGTGCACTGGTTTTTTTGGTACGTACAATCGTAAGCACCACACATGCGTATTAATGTTTTTTTTTACTCAGCAAATACTGGCGTGTGTCCTGCATGATTCGATTTAATATACAGAATGAACTATCGAACAACACTATTACAAATATACATGTTCACGTCCATATTACTTTTTTAAGGGCAACTCCAATTGAATCTGTACTAACTAATGATCGCAGTCTTGGGTTTGAAAAAAAATATGTAAATTACCATTAGTTCAAAAAATTTAAATACGTGACAATAATTAAACAAGTTGATTTAAATTTATTTATTTATTGTCTGTTTGTTTGTTTTTTGTTTCCTATTTATTCATCATACAACAATGCTTCACTGAGTGTAGGAGAGTTGAAGTTAGATCGGCTAACTTGGTGTGAGCTTTTTAGTTGATGCTGTAAGACAGACATGGTTCGGTTCGCCTTTAACACATCGCAACTGATACATATGCTTGTGCTTCGTGCCTTGGAACAGAGCCACTTTTATTTCAAATATATATCCGATCAAATTGGAATCTCTGGAAGTACATCGGTGGAAGGTTAATACGATTCGTGATTTTGGTGGCATTTTTCAGTAACACCCTGACTGATGATTGAAATGTTGATGTTTTAGTTCATAAGTTGACCTTAGCCCGTAGGCTTAATACCAGCGGGTGCACGCTTACATATGCCACCGAACACTGCGGTACATTGTGTGAAATATACCGGTCCATGGTCGTGCAAATGGGATTCCCTTGCGACGTCAGTTGTGGGTACGCTATGAAAAGGTGATATTTATATTTATAAAATTATGAATAAATCATACGAAATTTGACATATGCAAAACACACAAAAAACGGGCGCTAATCTGTCTTTGCCACATGGGATTATAGTAAACGTTGCCTAGCAATGAGTTAATAGAAACCAATGCGGAAACAATGTAGTGAGAACGTCTCCTATAGGACACACTAAATGCCACTCTTGTGTAATATGAACTGTACGCTCACATACAAAATGAATAAAATTCCGTGTTTCTGGATAACTTCCGTTCATAATTAAATTTCATTCTCTCTTGAAGTGACATTGAAAACATGAAAGTGCTATTAAGCTAGAATCGCATTGCTGGAAGCGACTGCGCTAAATATTAGCTTATATCACAGTGACAAAAAATCGCTTTTGCTTCAATTTCATTTAATTCCGATGACCGTGAGCTGACAACGTCGGTGTGAATTGAACGCGACACGCTCTTAACCATAGTTCTACATTAATGTAACCCGTTTTTCTTATTTTTTTTGATAGGTTCTATAACATTTGCAAATATGGCGATAGCACTACTGGAGCCGTCCATGCCTTTATGGATGATGGAAACCATGGAAACAGAAAAATGGCAACTAGGTACGATCGCAATTTGTCACTATAGTAACGCATTGCCCGTCGAAGTATTATCTCTAACAAAGTGAAATTCACATTGTGTGTGATGGAAAAAGATAATGTTACGGTGACCGTATGATATATTCGAGACATTTCACCCGTCCCAGTTTCCCCAGTGTGCGTCTTAAGATCCTTATACGGCGTCACAGCTTTCATTATCCCTCTCGCACTTTTTCAATTCGGAGATTTTTATTTTTATACCTTATTTCAAAAGCTGCTGTATTAATTTTATCACAAGTGATTAGTTATTGCATCCCCTCGTGCTAGTCGAGTACCCCCATCTAAATATCCCAGAGCAACCTAGAGCGTACGTGATAGCTACCACTATATGGGAAATTGCAGTTTTATTCAAATTATCTTTAAAACGTTATGGTCTACGGCATTTTCATTACATCGAAATGCAGAATAATTTGCACATGGTTTATTATATAGATTTGACATTTAAAACATATTAATTTCGAGTTGTACTTTGTTTGGATTGCACATAGTGCCTATGAATCCTCACGTGACATCCGGGTGATGGCGGCCTGAATGTGTCAGCTTAGACTCTACGATTCAACATTCAGAGAGTAGTAAATAATGCAGATCGCTTTGACAATATACTACCATGGCAACGCCGGATGTGTGTTGTCACCAGAGAAAATGAAGATAATTTTCTGGCAAGATAGCTAGCTATGAATAATACAATAGCGTACGTATTCTCCCGAGCCGGCGCCAAGTTATAAGAAGAAAAGACGGTCACTTGCCCAATTGGAATCTTGCCTAACATCGTACCTCGTTTGACCTATTATTTCTATCACCTTCAGCTCTGTTCCCAATTAATCTGTTTATCGTAGCGTTAAAGTTGCCCGCATTCATCATTCTCGTAATCTAGGGTATTTAGCGATAATAACACCCGTGTATCAACAGATCATGTGTATTAACACTTCGGGACACAAACTTTACTCTCACCGAACGCACCTTTATAAATACTGTATTAGTAAGAGTCAAACCTCCAACATTTAGCGAGGTATTACCAGTCCCTGTTCATTATTTATGCATCGTTGAATTGGCTGATAAATGTGGTATGTATGCAGAGTGGTTACCCGAAAACCTCTCAATGACCTTGGATCGATTCCGGAAAGTGCAGTCTGTGTACTCATACCTCATACCATACAGTGCACGATAAAGCCAACTACGTGGTCACGTATATTTTCAAAATTCTCGCATTTGTAACAATTTTAGAAGCAGGGTCTGACGTCGATTTTAAGAAAAATCTCTTACTGTTATTAACAGTTATATTTATATAACTCTTGTAGGTTTTATTGTAACCGTAATTCGCTCACAAACATATTCTGTTTTCATTTCGAATAACCATCGCTAGACATATATCGTCTGATACCAACATACGGATACATATCTCAAAACTGCATTATTTCTACTACGTTTAATCATATACTGTATAGAAGAAAGATATATAACCGTTGCAAACTTCAAAGGAAATCCATGTTTATTTTGGCACAAGCCTGACTAGAAATAATTAAATCTGTTACAGTAGTAATAATCAGAATACAAAGAATCTTTATTACTCCATGGTGTAGTAGCCGGAACAGGGATATTTCGTGTAACCTAATTTCATCTATACGGTCAATGGTTTAACGTACAAAAAGAATTTATGGGAGTGCGTATACACCGACAAAGCATTGTTATTTAATTTAGAAACTCCGTGCATCGTTCAATATTGCTATATCCACCCGCAGACTCACTATCTAATGAAATGTCGTGACGGATACTCGGGAGATACGAACTTGCCCCTGGCTGTCATATTCACAGGAACCCGGATTGAAATGAACAGCTATACAATGAATGCAACGTTATACTATTTACTTTACTGTATATGGTTGCTCGAGGATGTAATTTGGGATTGTATTTGACCCTAACAAATATAATGTATACCTATTGTTGAGACTATTTTGTACAAAAAAAGTATTGTCCAGAAATATAAGTCAACTTTATATTCCCGAGTGTCCCTCGCGACATTTATCTCCTTAGTACAATGGAGACACCGGTCATATTACAACTTTTGCACTTACTAACGTTCTCGGTGATTTATCATTGTGTTAACAGGGGCAGCGTTTCTTCCAGCTAGCGTCTCCTACCTGATTAGTACTAACATATTTGGTCCACTCGGTCACCGTATGGGAAGGTATACACCGTTAATAACACGACATATTTACCTCATTACACAGTCATGCTTCTCACGGCACGTACGTCGCAAACGCCTCACAGCGCTGAACACCCACGCTCACGCAGATAGAATCTGTTCGTGATACTCAGCTCACAAGACGCCTCCGGTGTTGGAATAGATTCCTGCTTAGTTTTACGTAACTCGTGTGTCACCAGGCATTCACGATGAGTCACTACCCCAACACGGAACCTTAGCGCATTACAAACTGCAGCACTTATTGTTTCATAACACCAAGCGTCTCATCTTCTATATCTACTCTAACCTTCAAAGCACTACACACAGCAGAAAACACGGTTATACTTATTCACTCTCAATTAACGTGTCTTCTTCTTCTTCAGCTAACGTTGAGCACTCTCTTTCTCTCTCTATTAAAGCTGGCACCTGCTACTAGCGATTAACGCCATATATTTTTTTAAAGTAGATTGTATTATTTATTTATTTATTTATTTACATAATCGGCACTTGCACATATCTTCTCTAGGTTCTATTTGGTTGGCACCAAGTATAGGTTATACGTTAGGCACTTACGTCTTTGGTTATCTAGCATCTAAACTGGGAAGGTAATGTCTCTGCCTCTTTAATGCATGCCATTTCTTACTACTCTTGTTTACTCGATAGCTAAAGCACCACACCCTACTTATGTTACCGCTGTCAAGTAGGAGGCAGTGCGAAAACTGCCTCCTGCAATTGTCTAATGCGCGAATTAACTTAACGCAATTTATAATCTTTCGTCACTACTTCCACAGCGTGAGGTTTGCTTTACGGTATGTTTTGCGCGATCCAACGATAACCACGATACCTGGCTACTTCGGCATGTACACAATATCGTATTTATTATATCATTTGCTAAACGCAAGTTATTCTGTTTTTTTCCTTGAATATGTTGATTTTACAAAATAATTCAGTCGCCACACTACTCTGATATTCTCTGCAATGGTGTCAAAGTTATGGAATACTTACTTATTATAATATATATTTACAATGTTATTATTTTCATTAATACAAAATAATGTAGCAGTAAGCTGTTGGCCATATTCGCAATGGCTAAGGTGTCGTGGTTTTCGTTGGAATTTGTCAATGTGATGCACATAATGTGGGGTTTATCCCGAGTCTGTGGCAATATAAGTCATACAATACTACTAGGCGTTCACCGATTCGCACATCAAGACGTCTCCTGTGAATAACTGTCCTGTTAGTTTTCACTCTGAAAAGCTTTCAACAAATATCGAAACGCAATCTGTGAAGTCATTCAGTTGCTTTCGTACCAATTAAACAGCAATGTGTCAGTTGCTCCACTAAAATATCCTTATATGGTAATAGATAATTTGAGTTAAATCCATTTTGTCGCAGGCACCACTCGCGGTGTCAAGTTTCAGGTAATTCGAAACAGAATTATTGAATCGTGTAACTCCATAAAGAGATATCATTTCTCGTGGCAAATGGTTTTTGTATACTTCACTTAAAATTTCCTTACTAAATGGAAACCGACGCACATAGTATAATATGACGACCATCTAAATTGATGCGCCCTCTAGCGCCAAAATAATTATGTGACGTAAGAGTCGTTGTTGGCGTCTATTAATAAAGAAAAATACTTCTAATAGAGATTCATTATTTTCTAAATGCCATTCAAATCAAACAGGGTCGTCCATTCAAAGGGCGGCGTCCATCGCGCTGCGTCCCGTTCGATAAGGGATTCAGAGCGACGTACACAACGCCAATAAAATACAATTGTTTTTGTACGTGAAATTCGAACTCGCTATATGTGATGGCCACGACTCTTTAAACGATATTGCTTATACCCATGTACACCATTTTGACGTCACAAAAATGCCTCGTCGCTAGAAAGCGTATAGGTCAAAATTCTTAACTAATCAGAAATGCTAATATAACAGATTTTACAACAATTAACAATAAATGACATTCAGTTTTCGATTCAGAAGTTGCTCAACGCAACAACAAGTTAACAAGACATTAATATACGTTGTATGAACTTCAGTGTACTCGCTTTCTATTGTGTAATACAACCATATTAAAGCTGAGCATTTACCAAAACGTTATAATTTAAATATAAATCACTGTAATCATGGAAATGCTCCATTTATCGTAATTTATTTCATCTGTGGACAGATAATTTCACCATCTTGCTGTGCATGTAATAGTACCCTGTGAATAAAAAAACGGCTGTACACTTACATTTTACATTCGGTCTCTATGTTTCAATTATTATTACATATCGGAATCTCGTATATAAAGAACCCAATCTTTGAATACACAACATCCTGTCAATTAGGAACAGACTTACACATAATGGATAATACATATGGATAAATATATTGATCAGAACACGTGTTTAACTATTAGTCATTTGGCTCGTTCGTTAAAAAAACTAAACAGAAAACAATAGCAGAATTCGCCCATTTCTGTTTTTTTTTTCGAATTCTCTAATTAAATTCCTACAAACAAACCTAGTGGCAAAAGCGTAAAAGTCTTTGCTAGTATAAAAGCCTACTTCCGAATATTAGCAGCCATAGGGTATATACCTTTTACGTAGATGCGCATTTACCGTGTCCGCATTATAAGGAGATTACTGTGAATACCAGGAAATTACTTTACGCTCTGAATTCATTACAGGTGGCTGTGTTCATTAATAGGAATGAGTATAACGGGCATTTGCATGGCTTGGGTAAGTAAAGCAGTTCATATTATCCATCTAGCTTATACTATCAGATCTCTGCTTTAGGTTATTTGGCGACAGAGTTGGTATCAAGAATGAGTAGAATGATGCCAAAAACAAGAATTCATATTCACACTATTACTAGGTTTGCACGTTCTCAATGTAAAATAAGCTTGGTTATTAAGCATCTTTTTTGGGGGATACCTGGTGGCCAAGTAGAAGCCACGCAAAAACATGCAGCAAGGTGAAGTGGTGACCAGTTCGAATCACACTTGTAGTACTATCTCACATATAGCATTACGTTTCCCATGAGTTATTTCCCCCAAAGATTCATATACATATAGTTGCAGCTTTAGAGAGAGTTGGTTCTTTTAATTAGTCTAATATCTTGTAGAATGACTAGATTATCCATATAAGTAACATACTATCCATATAAGGAACGTGAATTCTTACAGATGGATATGATTGCCTGTACAATTAACAGGTTTTAAGGAACCTGAATTCTTACAAATGGACATGATTGTCTGTACAAGTAACTGGTTGTAAGGAACCTGAATACTTACAGATGAACATGATTGTCTGTACAAGTAACAGGTTGTGAGGAACCTGAAATCTCACAGATGAACATGATTGTCTATACAAGTAACAGGTTGTAAGGAACCTGAATTCTTACAGATGGACATGATTATCTATACAAGTAAAAGGATGTAAGGAACCTGAATACTTACAAATGAACATGATTGTCTGTACAAGTAACAGGTTGTAAGGAACCTGAATTCTCACAGATGGACATGATTGTCTATACAAGTAATAGGTTGTAAGGAACCTGAATTCTCACAGATGGACATGATTGTCTGTACAAGTAACAGGTTGTAAGGAACCTGAATTCTCACAGATGGACATGATTGTCTGTACAAGTAACATGTTGTAAGGAACCTGAATTCTTACAGATGGACATGATTGTCTGTACAAGTAACAGGTTGTAAGGAACCTGAATTCTTACAGATAAACATGATTGTCTGTATAAGTAACAGGTTGTAGAGAACCTGAATTCTGACAGATGGACATGATTGTCTGTACAAATAACAGGTTGTAAGGAACCTGAATTCTTACAGATGAACATGATTGTCTGTACAAGTAACAAATGTAAGGAACCTGAATTCTTACAGATCGACATGATTGTCTGTACAAGTAACAGGTTGTAAGGAACCTGAATTCTCACAGATGGACATGATTATCTGTACAAGTAATAGGTTGTAAGGAACGTGAATTCTCACAGATCGACATGATTGTCTGTACAAGTAATAGGTTGTAAGGAACCTGAATTCTTACAGATGGACATGATTGTCTGTACAAGTAACAGGTTGTAAAGAACCTGAATTCTC